GGGGGGGGGGGGGGGGGGGGGGGAGGGACAGGCATGACCCACTGGCGCCGGCGGACCAAATCTGTAATCCCAGCACCCAGAGGCTGAGGCCATGGCCTCGGGTTCAAGCGCAGTCTTGGCTGCGGGAGACTCACTTCCCTTCCCCCAATCCTGTTTCTTCGGTAGACCTTGAGTAAAAATCCACACCATTTGCATTAGAAAAAAGTCGCCTCCTCGACGAAAAGCCTGAGGAACACCAAATGTCTGATAAACAGGGGTTTTCATTCCACCCGTTAAATGGTAACTTAATAATTGAGCATTTCCTGAGGACTATCATTTCCACTGAGCCTCCACCTTCCACTGCTTAATTCTCAGTCCAGTGATTTCTGCTTTAATGTGGACTTGGCTCCAGTCTTTTATTTCCAAAAGTACTTACACCACAAGGCTCCTGTGAATGGCTGGGACAACAGCAGACTTTTGTAGGCAGCTGACACTGGTTTTGTACGTTTAAGACAAGCCTGTCCCCCAAAAATAGCTGAAGCAAAAAGAGCTGGGGGTGTGGCTTAAGTGGCAAAGTGCTTGCCTAAATTCAAATCCCATGGGAAAAGTTGGGTGTTGGTAGCTCCTGCCTGTAATCCCTAGCTGCTCAGGTCTAAGAATCAAAGTTTGTAACCAGCCCAAGACTCATCTCCACTTAGCCAGGAGTGGTAGGCATGGCTCAAGTGGTAAAAGGGCCACCTATAAAAAAACCAAGCTTGAGTTCACTAGTGGGAAAAAAAAATCAGGTGACCTATTTTGCTGAGGAAAAAAAAAAACAACAGGTATTCTAACATTCTGGGAAGGTTGAATTTTAACATCCGACTGAATTGGTTGAGTTTGATTATCATCGTAGTTACCAGGCTATGTGGTTCTTCGTTCCTCTACCATGACTAGAAAAGGTGAAGATTCAGGAATTAAGACCTTCCCGCCCTTCCCACCACCTGCCCCCACCTTAAGGGGCTGGGAAAGTGGCTCAGTGGTAGAGTGCTTGCCTTGCATGCATGAGGCCCTGGGTTTGGTTCCTTAGCACCGTATAAGCAGAAAAAGTCAGAAGTGGCGCTGTGACTCAAGTGGTTGAGTACTAGCCTTGGGCTGAAGAGCTGAGGGACAGTGCCCAGGCCCAGAGTTCAGGACCCACAACCAAGAAAAGACCCTCCTTACAATGTGGGGTGGGCTTTAAGTGCACCATCAACATAGAAGGCAACGATTTTCACATACTTCAACCACCAAAATTTCCATTGGTGATTGTTAGGGGTGATCACTAAAGTGAAGAGCCCAGAGTTGTTTTTCTTTTACAAATGGGTAAATTAGCATCCACTAACATATGAAATTTACATTCTCATAACAGTTGTATCCTCCACTGCAACATTTCTCCACATTTACTTGTATTCCAATTAATACCCCCACTATTGTTTTCCTTCCCACTTCCCCTCCCTAAAACAATTTCAGTTTAGAACACAGAAGGATTTTTAAATCTTGGATTTCGAATTTTGAACCCCAAAGGAGTGAAGGATGAAGGGAATCCTATCTGCTATGGCTTAGATATGAATTTCACCCTACAAAGCTCATGTGCTGGAAGGTGGTGGTACTAGGGTAGAGGTGTTAACTTCAGCAATGTTTTTAATGGTATGCTTAGCAGGTGGGCCTAGTTAAAAGTAGGGCATTAGAGATGTACTGGAAGAGTTTACTTGTCCCCAGAGCCTTCCTCTCTTGTTTGTTGCCTGCTACAGGGTGAGCCACTTTGCTCCACCATACATTTTCCATCATGATGTGTCAGCTTCATCTCAGGCCCACAGCAATGATACCAGCCAACCATGGAATGCAACCTCTGAAACCATGAGACAAAAGAAATCATCTTCCTTTTGAATCGTTTCTCCCAAGTGTTTTATCACAGTGATTAAAAATGATTAACACTTCATTATTATAGAGAAATAACTTGCTTGGGACATGGTTATACACATAGAGGACATCTGGAATCCTGCCCTGTAAAGAAAAACATTGTCAAACTTTTGGCAAAACACATAAGTGTGGGGAGAAAGAAGACATATCAAATGGTTCAGGAATGTATTATAATACAGTGTGCTATTACTGGGTAAAGAATGGGAAGAACACTTACCTTTGTTCATATTTGCATATTAAATTCTGTAAGGATAAACACACACACACACACACACACTCTCTTAGGAAAAGTTGCACTGGTCTATTCACAGACCTGGAGTTCTCTGTACTGTTTCAGAAATAGAAGGGTTTTCTTTTCCTATATGGCTTCATAGTAATGGTTTAATGTCTATTCAAACATTCTTTGATGAACAGCCTTTGACAAATACTGTTTCAGACACACGTTAAGTATAACCCAAATATAATTGCTGCATCAGATATATTTGTAATTACAAACAACAGCTGCCAAATTGTTCTCTGTTCTTCCTTGCCTTTTTCACTCAAGACTAGTCTCAGATTTGTCTGCCCTCACTGGCTTCAAACTGGGATCCTCAGATATCAGCCTCCTGAGTAGCTCTGATTGTGAGTATGAGCCACTCAATACTTGGTTACTTTGTAATGGGCACTCTATGAGACTACTTTTTAACAGCTGGCCAAAAGTTTATTTAACTTTCACATTTTTGCCATTCTTTACTATTTTTTTATTATTATATTACCATTTATTATAAAGACATACAGAAGGGTTACAGATACCTATGTCAGGTAATGAGTACATTTCTTTTTGGACAAAGTCACCCCTTCCCTTGCTTTCTCCCAGTCTTCCATGCCTTACTTTCAATTTGTATTTATCTTATTACATGTGAGATAAAGCATCTTTTAAAAATATGTAAAGGCTATTTGTCATGTGGTGTTTAGAGTCATGACCTTGGGTTTGCTTGGCTGACTGGCTGACAACTCTACCACTTAAGCAACATCCCCAGCCCTTTCTACCTAGGCTTCCTCAAACCATAATCCCCCAGATCTCAACCTCCTGAGTATCTAGGATTAAAGGTGTGAGACACCACCATTTGGCTTACTTGCAGGTATTTTAACATTATATCACTATTTTGCAGAGATGAAAAGTATAACTTGGCCAGGAGTTGATGGCTCATGCGTGTAATCCTAGCAACTCAGGAGGCTGAGATCTGAGGATTGTGGTTCAAAGCCAGCCCAGGCAGCAAAGTCCATGTGACTCTTATCCAATAAACCACCAGAAAACCAGAAGTGGCACTGTGGCTCAATTTGGTAGAGCGCTAGCCTTGAGCTGAAGAGCTAAGGGACAGTGCCCAGGCCCAGAGTTCAAGTCCCACAACTGACAAAAAAAAAAAAAAATGTGTATCTCAAGAGAGTAAAAGGTCCAATTTCAAAGAACGGTTATCAGAAGTAGTAATCAAATCATTGCTACAGGTCCTCAAATACTTCGGCTGTTCTCAGTTGAGATTTGTTTTACTAAGTGACAAAGTCATGTGGAAACATTTCTCTGAAAAGCGAAATGTCTGTTTTCCCTCTGGATTAAGATCTGGAGTCACTTTTGTTTTGTGGGGTATTGCCACAACAGCAACGAACACTCATTACATGTTTGCTAAGTGGGTGGCACTGAACATGAAAGTAATATATGCAGCAAGGAAGTTGC